CATTCTGAAGCTGGATGAAGAACTAACCAATCGCAGTAGTTTCCCCTATCTCAGTTTGGCCTGTTCACCAGCTAAATCTCATGATCAAGACGCCTATGATTAGACTCGTATACTATGAGCAAACTGTCTCTGGTTTTTATGCATCTCTCGAGTGGAGTTAGGGTCGAATTGGCCCCGAGCTTCTATCTAACGTCCCAACTCCCAAATGTGGTAGCTGCTCGCTGCACTTGATTAAGCTCATTACAGACAGTTTCTCTTTATCTTCGATTTTTCCTTAAGGGTTTCTTCCTGTCAAAACTACTTCCTTAATCGATGACGTCTAATCTTGCGTCTCCTTATATTTTAACCATGTGCGACCAGTCTTTCTGCCTTCCAATCGTTTTTATAACCTGACCATGAAATGTGTCCTGCAAGGCAATATGAAATTCAATGGAAATGTTAGTTCAACTCATATCATTGTGGGAAAATTCTACTTCCAGTCATTCATCACCTTAAACGAAATAGGGTGAATACATCTCATATTACTGATTTACTGGTATTCTCGAAACATTACTTATATATAAAAAATAATAAAAGACTAGTTGCGTGGCCGCCTTTTTGCAGGCGGCTCAACTCCCTCTCTATCCTTGAGTCTATTCATTAAGAACAAGTAATTTTTACTTATCTTCTTGCCGGTATTCCTTACATTAAATGTATTTCCTATTTTGTTTATTTCGATGTCTTCTCTAATTTTAAGTTTAGTCGCAGACATGCCATAATCAGCAAAACGAGAACTTTGAGACCATTCAATCTCGTGTCCGGTTTCTGCCCTGTTCTCAGCCAGCTCCGATTTTGGAACCCAACAGCCTCTGCTCATCCACCCTTTGTCAAATTGGGCGACAAGTCTCTCTAACATAAAAGCGACCACATAAACACATTATGTTGTAGCAACCTGATCTGGATGATGGGTCAACTTTATTTTCATTTATTATGGAATGTGGCAAAAAAGCATATAACTGCACTCCCTCAAAGGACATCGCGAAGTTATCCCATAAAACTACCACTAGGCCTA